GAATATGGAACTCTGTAGTATGAGAACCATTAACCAAACTGAGTCTCTTGCAGATCTCAATAACTCTAAAATCCACCTACACCATTTAGGACCAAAACCCATAATCTGCATGATCTCAATAAGATAGTCCAAAGAAAGTGAATCATACGCCTTTTCAAAATCGACTGTAAAAACCATAAGAGGATTTTTCGAACCCTTTCACCAAGAGAACACCTTATTAAGAAGAAAAGGCCCATGCAAAATTTGTCTACCTTTAATGAAGGCACACTGCTCCAAACTCACCACCAACCCGATAACCTCAGTTAACCTATTAGCCAACAGTTTGCCAACAATTTTATATTGGTGTCCTATTAAACTAATAGGCCTAAAATCTTTGACATTTTTCGGATCTTTGACTTTTTGGTTAAATTAGTTATTTCTGAAAAACTGAAGGTGTAACCCGGTTACCCCTTGTCTTGTCATTAATGAAGTGTTTTGTAGAAAATTAAGATGATCCACATCAACGCAATGACACTAATCTTTCAACTATGCCACGCTAGCTTTGCAATTACCACCTACATCAATACAATAAAAATTATCTTTTCAAAGTGGATCCCCGTTGACACATCAACTAATTTATAAAACTTAAAATATATCTAAAATTAATTATAATTAATAATTATATATATATATATATATATATATATATATATATATATATATATATATATATATATATATATATCCCCTATCCTAATAAATGAGTACAAAATTGCCACGTGGCAATTGCTCAGCCCCTCCGCAAGTTTTTTTCCCGCTTATAATGTCTAACTGAAATACCAAAACTACCCTTATTGATGAGAATTAAACTCTAGATCGATTAGATCTTTCACAGGTATGAATATGAAAATCAAACAAGACAAACACAGTAAGAGAATGAACACATATCAGAATCAAATATGAACTTATGATTCAATAAAGTCACGCCTCAGCAGAGCTCGATGAAGAACTTCCACTGTATAGGCGAGCTACGGTTTTACAAAACTCAAAGAGAAAATTTAAGAAAGCCTTAACTACAAAGACTGCATGCATGCAACTTATATACTAAACCCTAGAACAAAATATTCACGAATGGACAGGCCCAATACCGGCAATCAAAACTGGACTAAGGATCAAGCCCATGACGCAACATAATAATCCCAACAATCTCCCCCTTTGCGTCAAATGAGGTGAGAGATTATTTCTTCTGTGTCGTCTTCACTGTCTTTATTACTTTGAACAGCCGAGGAATTATTGCAAGAAGTGTCTGCCGAAATTAGATATACCACCTCAGCATATCGGTGAACAAATTCTTGTCAGCTGCACTGTTCTGATCACACCTCTGAATGATCTCCAAGATATACTCTAGGCAAGAAGTTGAGAAGAGGTGTTTGTCAACGAGAGCAAACAAGCATTTCTGACCTTCTCCTCTGATGAACAAAACAGTGTTGTAATTTGTATCAATTTTCCCCCTGACCATTGTCTTGATATTGCCTGCTTTGCCCATAGTCTTGATCGTGGTTCGCTTGTGAATGGCAGAGGCAATCTCTTGGTCCATCTTCGCTACCTCATGAATGTGGCACACAAGCATTCGCTTGATATGGTCAATTATTGGCTGGTACTCCTGCGGATTTGACAATAGAATATTGTTGAGGAGTATCCAGACATGGGGGTTAAGGTTCGGTAGACATTAGACGAATCGATTTACAACACACTATTTCCTAGATTGTCTATAACCATCACAGTTTCATACACGCTATCATAAGGTAATGCTTCAAAATAAAATACAACATTATAATAAGCATGAATAAACCATTCGTATTATCAAAAGAATATCTAAAACCTTTTCTATATAAACCATGAAATGAAATAATATTTCTTGTCATTTCTAACGAGTAGCAATGATTATTTAAATCTAAACGTAACCCACTACTAAGCACTAAAGAATAAACACCACTCTTGGTAATAGACAATGATCTCCTATTGCCCATAATTAGGTTCATCTTCTCATGCTCCACATCTTCACTTCTTTTTAGTCCCTACAAGTTAGAGCAAATAGGAAAACCACACCCTTTATCAAGAACCCCAAGAATTTGAATGTGATGAGTTTTAAGATAGAATAGTGTAAATACCTGCTAAGGTTGGATTAACCATGCCATCCTTTATGTCTTGCAAGTACTTGGGGAAACTTATCTTCCAATGCCCCTTGTCATGGTAGTAAGTAGCCTCCTTTGGATCAAAGGCAGGGGGAGCTTGAAGTGTTGATTGAATCGAGTATGAATATGAAATTAGAGTTTATAAAAGATTTAGAACACTTAATCTGAATATAATCTGGTTGGCTCAATATATTGCTTTCAGAGAATACAAGAGGTTGCAAAACGAGTTCAATCAGAGAGCAAAAGTTTTCCACTAAGACATGTATCCATCCTATATTTATAGGGACAAAGAAAGCAAAAAAAAATATAAGGGACTCGACACTATAGCTTTCAAACTAAAATGACTGTATATTAAATTTACAAACAAATATTCGACACTTGGAACGACCTAGACACATTCGACATCTCACAAATATATTCGACCCCAACATTCTCCCCCTTTGTGAGAAATGTTGAATCCAAGCCGCCAGCATAAAAGCAGCTTGGTGAATGACCCTTTGAATCTCAGCATGCCAATTGACCACTTTTCGAGTTTCAGCCTTTTCATTTTCATTGTTTTTGGCACAACTGTTCATTTGAACCATAAGATTTGTATAATGTGAAGTTGTATACCTCTCAACATCACACACTTGGGACGAGAATTTATTATTGTTTCCCTTCTTATTTTTTTTCAAAAAAACACTATTCCAAGTGGTTTCATACAGATCTCACCATCTTCAAAAAATTTCAAACTTGCCTGAGTTTTTAACATAGATTGAGGAACAGTGATCAGTTTTCCTAATGCTTGAGCTAATTCAACATCTGTCAGAGCCAATGAACCATAATAACCATCAATGAATACCTTCAAGTGTGTGAATCCAATTAAGAAGTCTTCTTTGTTTGTCACTTGTAGCTTCGAGCCATTAACACTCTTCAAAATCTTTGCAACATACAACAGATCATGAAGTTTCATTATAGGGAAGTCTGTAATCGAGAAATCAAATCCAACATTGTTGGCTCGGACTGCTTGATATTGATAATTCTGCAACATACCCTCGAACAAAATATCTCTGGATATGCTAAGAACATGAACTATCTTGACAAGAGACCATCCTTCCTCCTCCTTTCTCCCAACACAACATGGAAACGAAACTTCATGCGATTGAATTCAATTTTATCTTTGTATTTCTCTGCAACCTCAAACTGCTCATCCATAAACATCATGTTATTGAAAGGAAAGTCCAACTAATTGAAATTAGTATTCTCGGTATTATAACTCTTCTTAGGAACCTTTTCAAAATCATGCATCTCCCCTATCACAACCAAAGCTTCAATGTTTTCATCAGTATAATGCTTTGTAGGATCACCTTTTTTGAGACCATGAGGATCCTTTGCCCTTTGTCGAAGAATGCTATGGACTTGTCTTTGTTTCTCCGTTTCTTTTTCGAGAACATCTTTATTTTATTCTTTTGAAGTCTCTGTAAAAATACCATTTCCTTTGTTTTGCATTTCTTCAGTGGAAGGAGGTGGTTTCGAAGAACTTGACCCTCCCCCAACATACCCAATCATAACTTCTTTGATTATTGATTTCGTTGTTGTTGTTATCAATGTTGTAATCATGGATATCTTTGGTAATGAGGTGTAAATTTGAGTAGTTATCACCTTTCCAACAACCTTTGCATCTTCATCTCCTTTCTTCGAACTCACCCCAATGACAACACCAATTCCTTCTCCCCCTTACACCCCTGTTTTAACAAGTGGGGAATTCATTGGCATCAAATTCAATAAATTGGCTAATGGAGCCAATTCAGCTTTGAGTGTTGACTGCAAAGCATCAAACTTTTGTGATAAAGAATCAAGAGTAAGCAGTGAAGATGAATAACCAATCTTTGACACTAAATCCTTAAGATTAAGCAACGAATCTTAAACCTTAGAAAAACTTTATGTATCAATCTCTGCTCTTTTAACAACCTTCGGAATTAAAGATTGATACCATTTGACAACATTTCTAACTGCAGATACAATGATATCTACTTTGGTGTGAAGATTAGAAAAATCATGAGATATAGCATCAACTGCCTTCGCCATATCTAACCGTAACTCCTCTAGTTTGAGATTCACATCTTCTCGAACTTTATTAACAGTTTGAAAATATAAAAGATGCTTTTCTTTCAACACAAATTTCATTTCTTTCATTTCCTGATCAAAAGATGATGATTGAGCATTGACACGTTTTTTGTTGTTTCTGTCAAGAATTTCTAACTCATCCCCCAGACGATGCTCTTGAGCCTTAAGCATTACGTCAACTTCTATTCCCGAGATCGAATGACGACCCCCTGTATCCACCTGAAGTTGTAATAACGAGTTCAAATTCATGTTAAGAACTTTAAACTATTTACCAGACATTAACATGTGATCTAGTATGTTTTCTTCCTTCGGATCAAACTCAAGGTCAACAAATGTACCTGTGAATTAACCATCGTCAGTGGTGGAATCATCATTATTTGTTTTAGGGTCAGTGGATTGGGATGGAAAAAGAAAAGTAATAGGTTGTTGAAGGATTTGATCAAAGGTTGGAAAATGAGTAGTTGATATTAAATTGGTGGAAACAATAGAAACAAATGGTGGTAAAGAGAGATTGGGTGAAATGGTTAATGTATCGAAAGTAGAACAAAGAACAATTGTAGGATTACCTTGAGTGTCGTTGGTCAGCACTCCTTCACCCATGATGACATTTGTATCCATATTAGATACGTTAACATGGATTCCTGAAGTGCGAACCTCCTCAGTAACTGATTCGGTATTCGATACTCAAGGTGGTATGAAAGTAGTCTTCTCAGGAGAATCTCACTTCGGTGAGGAAACAATCGTATCATGATCATGAATAGGTGATGCCGCTACAACTTCATCTTCATTCTCAATTACCACTTTCTTCGGTGAGGAAACAATCGTATAATGATCATGAATAGGTGATGCCGCTATAACTTCATCTTCATTCTCAATTACCACTTTATTTTTCCTTTTAACAAGCTTTTTAGCCATATCTCCAGCCCTTTGCTTTTTAGACACCAGAGAGACAGGAGTTGGAATCTCTCGAATCACAACACCTTTGCGATTAATTTGGAACTTACGAGTGATCTGCAAACCAACCTTAGGAGAAAAACTGCTAGACCTATCTGAAGAATGACGAGGCCAGTGAGCCATCTTCTTCAAGAGTTTTAAAATCCCAGATTTCGAAGGCATGACCTCCGACATAGGTGAAAAAGATTCATCAACAATAAGCTTGTGTATTTCCTTCGATGGTTGAGCAGACTTAACCACCTTTATTGAAGTGACTTTAACAACATTCTCCACTTGCTCTAGTGTTGAAGGACTCTCCTTAGCCTGTTTCTTGGACTCCTTTCTCTTTTTTGATGTGGTAGCAGTGCTTTTTCGAAGTAAAACCCCCATTTCAATCGAAGGATTGATAGTTTGCATGTACGCCACCAAAATAGGATTAGTGGGATCAACCTTTTTAAGCATTCAATCTGGAATTCTTGCAACAAATGGAAATGAATCTGGATCATCTTCAACAGTCTTGGGAAAATGGTATAATGAGAATTCAACCACTTGTTCATCTTCAGGAACCATAATACCTTCTTTTTTATAAGCAAATGGAATAATAAAGATCCAGTAACGAGCACATGAAATCCCATGAAAAACATTTATGTTCCTAATACTCTTCACAAACTCATCCCATAATTAAGTAGCATCGTTACTTGATGACTCAACTTGAGTCTTTCCCTTCCAGTTCTGTTTTGAGGGAGATTTACTCTTCTTCCCTTCCCTTTTCCCTATGGCCAAGACAGGAGCAAGAACAGCAGGAGTGGAGGCAATACTCTTTCCATTTATCCCACTTTCGGCGGTTCTCAGCTAGTTTTGGAGTTGACTCAATGTAGTTTCCTCCATGTTCAGATAATAACTCATAACAAACTGATCATAACAGCTATGCTATGGGTGTAAGACTATATCAATAGCCAATTCCTCATCGAAGTTAAAATTGAGCTTCAACAGACAATCCACATAACGTTGCAAGTGGTGTAAGTGGGTCATGACAAACTCTCCATCATTCATATTGATGGTTATAAGTGACTTGGCTATTTCATACGTTTCTTGATGGGTTACTTGATGGGTTTCTTGATGGGTTACTTCTCCATCAAGTCCTTGCACATCTTATAAGGCCAATAGTCCTCATAGAACCTTTAAAGTTTGGGAGTCATAGTAGCCACCATGATGCATGCCACTTTGGTAGCATTATTGCAGTGTCTCCTATATTCTACAATTTCTTCAGGAGTAGATTTAGTTTCATCAATCTTGTTCAGCTCCTTTTCAAGAACGTATTCCTTGTCCTCGGAGCACAAGGCCATTCTGAAGTTACAGATCCAATCCTTAAAATTAGAACCATCAAAGGTGATCTTCGAGCAGATGCTCAAGAGTGAGAAGTGGTTGGAGTTGTTGTTGGTGGAGCCGAAAGCATTGTTTGAAGTTGACATCTGAAAATGAAAAAGGATAAGATTTTATTAGATAAGAAAATCCTTAATATAACACCCAAATGAAATATTAAGGCTAGGATCCAACTAAATAATTCACAATTCAGAAGAGGGATGTCGTAATCTAATTGCAAATTATTTAAAGGTAGGTAAATGACGATTTACCAATTTCACCATCATGAAAAACTAAATTTAAGAGAATTAAGTTTTAAATGAATTCCTAGATCTTTTGAGATTCATTGAACCATTCAATGGAATATTTAATCTCGATTATGCCATTTCTATTTATGACTGGGATACTGAGGATCACAAACAATGTGTGAATAACCATGCAAATTAGCTTGGTACTCTTGATGTCATTTATCATCTAATCAATGTGACGGTTAACCACACACACTCCATTAATCAATGATAATTTATGAGCTACCCATTGCCATGCTTTATTAGTCCATATTAGTGTGTCAGTTAAACACACACGCTCCACTAACGTCTTTTATAAAGTGCAATGTGCAATTTCATGGATTAGCATCAAATTCACATTTTCCTAAAGTAATTAAGATTGGAAATTTTATAAAACATTTAGTTACTTCATATATTCCATTATACTTACTAACGATAATTAAGTGTCCTATCAAACGCGTTCGGATAACGACCCTCCTCTAGTCAAGAGAGTGGTAGGTAAGAGTACATACCCATTGGCGGTTATTTTATAGGATGCTTCCTTAAACTCCCCTTATAGATCGGCATCATGAATGAGGTCTACTAACGGTAAGACTGACTTTTCTTATACACACACACATACACACACACACACACACACACACACACACATATATATATATATATATATATATATATATATATATTACGTTTTAATTTTACAATACATATATAAGGGTTTATTTTAAACTATTAAAATACTAGGGTTCTTTAGTTTAAAATTTTAAAAATTAAACTATTTAATTTAAATTTTAAATTTTAAAACCAATGACGTATTTTTAAAACTGTTCAAAAATACTAGGTTAATTTTATAATAATTAAATTAACAAATTAATTTTATCTTTATAAAAAATTTAACACAATCATGAATTCATGATAATGATACAAAATTACAGATTAAAATATCCAATTTTAAACAATTAAAACCAATTTAATGTAATTATCCTAATCAATCCATGAGACAATTATCAAAACCGAAAATCTTGGATCTGACAATGCAATCGTCGAGTTGGGCAATTACCACGTCGACTTGCATGTCAACTCGTCGAGTTTGAAACCCAACTCGACGAGTTCGATGAACAGAATGACGATTATATTCTCTTATCCTTTGAACAATTCCCAATTGCATCATATTCAACAGAAAAGTAATCCTAAGGTCTGATACCACTGATGGGTTTTTAAGCATAACAACAAATTCCTATGTGTGCATGGAACCCTAATGCTTTGGATTTTTCTCTAATTGAACATGCAAACTTGAACACAAAGGAGAAATCTTAGGAAGTGTCTATAATTTTTCAAAATCTATATAAAACTAGGGTTTGGTTACATATCTTGATTGTTATATTGTAATAACAATGATTCCCTTGTAGATCTTGAAGCTTGAGAACTTGGTGTCACAAGTGTAACACCTCTAATGGCTCAAAAACATACAATGCAATAGAATGATATGAGAGAGGAGGGGATCACATTTTCGGTTTTTTTCTTCTTCAAAAAAGTGGCCGAAAATCTTAGGGTTTAGGACTTTATTTATAGTGCACCAATGATGCTATGGATAACCCTAATCTCAAATATGGTAATTATCCACCTCCTTTGATTATTCATATATGATAAGATATTCTAGAAATTCTAGAATAATCTTACATATACCATGTAATTTCGTCCACCACCTTCCCTAGGAAGGTTATGGATCCTTTTGCTCAACTATTGAACAATTTCACTTTTAGTCCCTACACTTTTAATTATTTCCTTTAATCTTAAAATTGATTCTAAATTAAATTTTAAATAAATATTAATTAAAAATATGATTACTAATTAATATATTATTTCCATAACATATTAAAAAATCATTTATTCCAATTTATCAATCAATTAATAAATTCTTCCTCTTCCTCCATTAATCATCCTGTCTTGTTGCAAGTATGAAGGCAACCCAAAAGTGTGACATCCCCAAAATCTCGGCAAGAAAAGACCGATTTCATTTATGCTTTTTAAAATAATTTTCAGAGTAAATCCTTTTAATTTTAAAAGAGATGCAGAATTTGTTCCCAAAACCAAAACATGATAAAATAGATATTTATCAAAACATTTCATAAAGAAATATGATTTCATTTCACAATCAAAAGTCGGGATGTCATGTTCCGATACAGATCATAAAGCATAAACGATAGCATTACAAGTCATTCAACAAATATATACATATACAGACTTGTAAACAAAACAACTTGATGTTCGCCCATCTTAAGCTCTTGCGCCACTTCCTGTAAAATAAATCAACTGAGTGGGTCAGGCTTGGGAGCCTGGTGAGCATATAGGGTTTTCAACCCACAATAATTATATTTAATTTCAACAATCAACAATAAACCCGATTACCCATTCCCGTTATCCTCACCTTACGTTCCTAAAAATAACGTCTATTATAAGGAACCTATTTCAGGATTTTTCATCGGGACGGACATTACTGCAGAGGGGCTTCCTCAACAATAAGTGTCCTAAAGGCAACCATGTGGGGGATAGAGTACACCGGTGAACACGTCGTTCACAACACCTACAGGTAATGAGCCTGCTAGTGTTCCACAGGACAGTCTAGAATAGTCTGTGGTCGTCATCCATACTCTGCTGAATGACTAGAATAACACCAATAACACCGAGGCCTCTCATCTGTTTATTACATACCAATTACCTACCCATGTTCTACCCAACATATTAGTAGATAAAAATATACATTTTTATACATTGTTTAAAAACCTGTATAACATGCTTTAAGCAATACATATTCCACATAACAGATGAGGCATACACACATAACATGTATTACATAGAGAATACATCAGATCTATAAGATAGAAGAGAGTGAATATACACTCACACGTATAACAACCAAATATATACACATAACACGTATTTTATAGGAAATACTTCATAATATTGCGTTGGAATGAAAATAACTACACACTCACTTGATCAGAAGATGATCGGGCAGCACTACGGCTTGCAGAAGAGGTGTTTCTCCGTAGATCTGGAAGATCTTCACAAAACCGGGCTCCTCGCGGGCAGCGTTTCGGCTCGGGAATAACGCTCTTCGGGATCCTCGGGGCTTCAGATCTTGCTTCGGGGCTCGGGAATGATACCGGGGCTTCGGGATATGATTGGCACGCAAATTGAGGCAAAGGACCAGAGAGAATGATGGAATTTGCAAAGGAAACTCTGCTGCTTCGGGTCTCCTTTTATAGGTGCTGAACCCTCGCACGTACGTGGGGCGTACGAGGCTACGCGGGGCGTACGCCTCGGTGGTCGTCAGCGCTTACGTCATTGGTCCATCTACGTCATTGCATACGACTCACTACTCCGTAGAACTCGAGTGCCCTACGCTGTACACGGGGCGTACAACAGTACGCGCTGCGTACTTCGGATAGACCGCCTCTCCTCTCTTCGGATAATATCGGAGTAAAATAAAAATAAATATTAAATATTTTATTAAACTTCAGAAATTCATATCTCCTTCATACGAACTCTGATTTCGACGTTCTTTATATCCACGCGAAGGTGAGACTACGCTCTACAACTTTCGTTTAGACTCCGTCGGCTAATTTTGAATTTTATTTTTATTAATTATTTTTAGAAGGCTCGGACAGGAAAACTTCGTTATAAAATCATAACTTCTTCGTCTGACGTCCGTTCTCGCCTATCTTTTCATCGTTTCGATACTAACAACGAGATCTTCTATTCTCATTTAGATTGTTTCGGCTAAAAACCGCTCGATCTCAAATCGAGTAT